GGCTTGTGATTTGGAAGAGGTAAGGAATTGCTAGTAATTGTGTTGCAAATGCTAGGGATATTTTTAAACCAGAATGAAATAGGTTCAGGTAAAATACATCCTCTGTGAGTATGTAATTCCTCCCATAAGAGTTTAACATAAGTGCCATAGGCAAAAGTGTTGTGTGCAGTTTTGATATTAGAATAATAAAGGACAAGAGCAGAAGATTTGCTAAATTTAAAATAAAAGCAAATTGAGTATTTGTGATTGGAGATTTCAAAAGAGCATGGGGTAGGGCAAATGTTAATTTTAAATTTCTTTGCCAAATCGGCTGCAGAAATTAACCAAGATTCTTTAAAATGATGTGGGTTGCAAATGGGACATAACCAAATTGCATGTGAGGCTTGGATCGATATAACTTCTTTTTTGATGTATGGAAAAGTCTTTGGATTTGTGAATTTAGTAACTAACAATTTGATAGCAATGAGATCTCTCCTGTCTTTGAGCTTGATAATATTAAGGCCAGCTTGGGAGAAAGCAATTTGTTTAAAATTGTTTGTTCAACCCCTAATTTGTTTTTAATAGCTTTGTTCATTCTCGATTGAAGAAAATTCATCTTAACATTTGTTGGAATAGAAACATGAACTGCATAATCCAATTGAGCTGGAATAATCCAGTGGGATGCTTGTTTTGTAATTGAACCGTTCCATCCCTTTTGATCAGAGATCGCTTTGGTAAAGTTAATTACTTTTTCTTTAAGTTTAGCTTTTGTTGGAAAAAAAGCAGATTTGCCAGAGATGTAGATTTCTAGATAGTGGATTGCTTCATGATAGAATTTAGCCTGTATGGGTTCATCCTCAATATAAAGGACTTGGTTTCTGTATGGATTCTTTGACTTCAAATTGTTTATTAAATCTGTTTTCTTTTTATTGCAGTTGATTGAGTTGAGTTTGAGAAAAGAGCAAAAAATATTGGTGGCTATTTGGAGAGAGTCGATAGAAGAACTTAACAAGGCAATATCATCCATATATGCTAGTATTTAAGATTTGGAAAAAGTTTGATTTATACTTCAGTAACCATAGGATCATAGAAAATGATCCATAAAAGAGAGGCCAAAGTCTCACCCTGGTTGATTCCATTGTTGACAATAATTGGATCAGTAAGTTTGTAATGGGAAATAATTTGTAGTTCTCTATTATTAAGAAGATTTAAGACTAGTGAAATAATTTGGACAGGAAGTTTTATTATTTTCATGAAAGCCTCGAGACTAGCAAAATTTACTGAGTCGAAGGCTTTGGAAATATCAAATAATGATATTCATAGCTCTTCTCCTAGGTTGTTGGCAGCTTCAAGTTTGGATGTTAAGATAGAGATTGGTTCCATTGTACTTTGATTTTTTATTTCTGTGAAATAAATCCAGAGAGAATATTTTTACTATCGATAATAGAGGAAATTCGTTTGTTAATAATTTTGATAAAAATTTTGTGACTAGACTCTATAAGTAATATTGGACGAGTGTCTGCTAGGTCATATGACCATATAATATTTTTTGGAAGAAATGTAATTGCTGACTGCTTCCAGTGTGGAGGAGGTTGAGATGAAGTAAGGACTTTGTTGAACAGAGCTTTGATTTGTTGTCTCGCAAAGGTTTCAAGATTAATTCATGCCTCATAAGGAATATATGTGAAACCTGGTGCTTTCCACCTGGGAAGATTGTTGAAGACTTCATCAATCTCAGGAAGTGTTATTTCGTCAGTAATTGAATTGAATATATAGTTAGGAATACTATTTCTTGGTGTATATTGGTCTTGCCAAACCTCGTCTATAGTAAATGGTTTTGGTTCAAGTATCTTTTTAAAGTAGTTGTTGATGATTTCAATAAGTTTTTCAGGATCTTTATATAGCTCTTCTCCATCAGTTAAGATTGAAGGTCGAGTGATGGCTTTAGGTCTCCTAAGGGTTTTTTTAGAGCATTTTTAGGTTTTTGCCAAAACCTAAAGTAGTTGTCTTTTATGCCTTTTTGAAGCTCTATAAGAATATTTTTATTTGCTTTAATATTTTTTTCGTTGATTAAAATTTTCAATGTTTTCCTTAAGAATTTTAGGGAAGATGATTTATCAGAGATTTTGCTATGAATAGTTGCAACTATTTGATTCATCTTTGGAGTTGACCTTTGTAGACTTCTCAATAATTTCATTATTACTTTAACTGATTTGATAGCTGTTAAATAGTATTGCAAAGGATTCCTTTTTTGTTTAGGATTAGTTTGTTTTCTCTGGGGTATGTTATTATCCATGGCCTTTTTTATTATGCTATTGAGACTATCCCATTTTTGATTTGGGTTTGCGAGGCAGGTAAGCTCAATGTCCTTCTGCATTGACTGTAATTGCTCTTTTGATGCTTCTCTGAACTAATATATTGGTGAAAAATGAAATTCTGTCAGGCCTGTACCCAAACCAATCAAGAACAATAGTGATTTGTTTATGGTCAGATGGTATGACATGTTGCTCAAAAGTTTTGTAGCTCAGAATCTTTCTGGCCAAGTCATGGATGATTCAGACCTAATCGATCCTGGATATGCTTGTATTGGTGATATAGATAAAGAGGTGATCCTTCCCAATAGCTTTGACTATATCTGTAAACTTATAGAAACTTTTGTAGATATTTCTCTTAAATGGAATCATGGGTACATTAATGGATGGAGAGTTATAAGGATAGGAGTTAAAGTCGCCAGCTAAAATAATATGTTTGCTTTGATGTTCTCCAATAAAACTTTTAATAGAAGTAACTGCTTGCTTTTTATACTTCTTTCATAAGGCAGGTAATATGAAATAACAATAATATCAGTCTTGGGTTTGAATTTAAGGTAAATAGTACACCAGAATTCATTTTGGACAAATGTATTAAATATATAATTACTGATTGACTTTGTTGTAATGATGCAAGCACCATTGCTAGTACTAGTTGAAGGTACACTAGAGATAATTGGAAGATTATTGATTCTTTTGAGGAGTGGGTTATTTGTAAATGCTTTTGTTTCAAAACAGCACAGAATGCTTCTGTCATTTGTAATTGCTTTGGTGAGTTCTATAAGTTTTTCTCTTTGAGAGAGACCTCTAACATTGAATATGGAGATAGGGATTAAGTTTCTGATTGATGGTGAAGGGTGTGAAATATTTAATATATTATTATTTGGGTTATTTATGAGTGTAGACATAAAGAAATGTTGGAAGTTGGACTTAATTGATGTCATGGTTAAATTAAGTTGGGAAGAAGAGTCAGCGCTGGTTCAGGTAACTCTGGGTCAATTATAAATTCAGAGGGAAGCTTGTTGATGTGGAAGTGCTTACTGAGAGCTATTATATTATTGTTAAGATCAATGTTATCTGTAAAGGGAAGTGACAGGTCGGAGTTGTTTTTGGCTAGGAAATCAATAGCTTCATCAAGGGTTGGCAAATCAGGAAGAATAGGAGTGATCCAGGCTCTAGATATTTCACCGGCATAGGTGTTTTTAATTTTGATAATAGATTGTTTAAATAATGGGGAGTTTCTGTTTAAGTAATCTTTGGATATTTCAAGTTCGGCTTGTATTATAGAAAAATTATTGTGAATTTTGGGCTTGTCTATTTGGGTAAAACTCTCCTTGATTCATTCTGGACCAAGAGAAAGTTTAAGAAGAAATTTTTGCTTGAGATTTTTGATAAGATCGTCAGCTTCTTCCTGAGTTGTTACTGGCAAGAGAATAGAGTTGTTTTTGCTATATTAATGAGAAGAAGGTAGGGGATACTTGACTCTTATGTAATCAATAGGGAGCCATTTAACAGCATAATTATTGTCTCTGAGAAGTTGTACAACTTGCTTGAAATCCTCTAAACTATTGTCAACAGGAAAGTGTTTGGCTAATTTGATGGGCAAATTCTTGTATAAAGGAGGAAGATGAAGTTTTGGTGGAGGGAAATCAAAGTATATCTCAGGTAATTTGTTTGGAATATAGTAAATTTCTCTGAGTCTATCGACACGATATTTAAGGTCTGTGAGTTCGTATCTTTCTGTTAATGGAAAAAGATGCTCAATCTCTGGGTTAAGATCTGTTGGATCACTTGGAAGGTCTGGTTTTTTGACAAAGTAAGAGGGAAGCAGAAGGTCGAATTTGTAGAAAACTTTGAGACTGCTTGCAACTTCACTTGTGTCACTGCTTGTGGCAATTGGGATGGCTTTAGGAAGTCTGATTTTAATTGTAGCAGGGATGTCCTCTGGACTGTCAGGTAGCTCAGGAAGATTTTTATGTATAAGTTTTTCATATATTGTATAAATTTCTAATAATCAATTTTTTGTTAAAAAGAATCCATAAAGAAATTGAATCTGTATTCAAGTAATTGGGCAACTTGCCAATATTTAAGAAGGGAGAAGTCTGATAATCTGAGGTAGGTGATGAAGAGTATCTTATTGATAATTTTTTTGATTTTATTTCTGATGGTTCTGGTAATGTAGCCTAGGTTATTTGCCTGGCAGTAATTATTATGGAATTCTTTCTCAATTTTTTTATACTCTTTTTGATGTTGACACTTGATAGCATTATTCTTGACAAATGTTCTAAAAAAATCATGATCTTTGTATTTGATTTTTGAGAAGATCCCTTTGAAAGAAGTTCTGGGAGGCCAGTAGGTTCGCTCTTAATTTTCATAAAAAGATTGATAATGGCTTTCACAGTTCTATCACATTGGTTGAGCTTTTCACAAAGCTTTAGAATTTTTTCTTGTTTGTTGGGTGGTGTGGCATCTCTAATGTCCATTGCACTGGGAGAATTGTTGGTCTGTTGTGCTGCTAGTAACTGGTTGATCTTATTAGTCCAAGATGTTGGGAGAAATTCTAATGTTTCAATTGATTGGCTTGGTAAAGAATGATCATCGATTTCCATATCTGCACTAGTGTTAGGTAAAATAGATGTGGATGAATTGTTTTGAACTGGATTATGCATGCTGCATGCATCTGCATGTGGGCTGGATTGATCTATATTGTAGTTAAGGATTATTGCATATGATGTTTCAGATGAACAATCAGCTTGCATATTATTGTTGTCGTTCATTGCCTTATTTGAGACAGGAGTATTTGGAAAGGGTTTGAATGTTTCAGTTTTTTGTTTTAGAGAGAAAGTATTGTCGATATTTGAAAAGATAATATCAAGTCTGTTCCAAGAGATGTGCAATTTATAGTTTAAATGTTTTTTCATAATTTCTTTCATTAATTCAGTTTTGTCATCGTCTATAATTTCAAAAATATTCTGAAAGTCGAAAAAAGCATTGAAAGAATTTACAGGCAAGGGGTTCAAGTAGGTAATATTAACCAATATAGTTGGTGTAGAGAGGCTGGTTCTCTGATAAGTTTCAAAGATGGTAGCAATAACTTCAGATGTTTCTGAACCATCAGTGGTATTAATTTCTTATTTAATGGCTATAATATATAAAAAATATATATGTATATTGTTGTTTCTCAACGGCGAGTCAGTCGCTAATCTGGACCAAGACTCGTACTATGTTGGGAGAGTGGGTCTATGTTGCTGGCGATACCAAAGGTATGTATGGTGATAATTATCTTAATCTTCCCTTATATTTAACTAGTCTCCTCTTTTAATCCCTTCCTTATTGCACTACAAGGTCCTGGATTCTCTTTAAGATGACTAAAAGACAAATAAGATAAGTTTATTAATTATCATTGCACAGGTACAAGCACTTGGTTTTTCAATGAATAGTATTTTATTAATTGACTCGCTCAGATACACTTCTCTATGATCTACGATATGTTACATTCTATTTATATGCCTTGCGACGCGTCTCTAAATCTATCGTCACGTAATGCAAAATTATCAAACTTCTACAAACTCTGCGCCCATTAATCATGCATGATTGATACATGATCGATGCCCCATGCGGCACCGTGCCAGGCCCCACATGTCGCATCATACCCCCTACTATGATTTCTATGCTAACACCATATACCGATAACAATATACTGTAAATATATTAATTGTGTTTATTTTTCCTTTGTATTTTTTTGAGATGGCCCATTTCACAAATTTTAATCACATGAATAACTAACATGTCTACATAATAAAAAGATTATAAATAAATCTGTATCTTATATAAAAAATGGCAAATATAGAATCTAAAAACAATTTATTAAAAGAATAAAATTTTATACTTGTAGCTGAGATTATCAAACTTAAAAAAAAGTATTTTGAGATCGAGGTTAAAAATATTAAATTAAAACAAACTTTGAAAGATTATGAAGTTAGGTTTATGAATCTAAAGCAGAATTATTTTCTGTTAATATTACTTTTACTGGAATAGCAAATTCTAATATTTTTGAACAGATAGAAAATAGTTTCAATATATGCCAGAAAAATGATGATCAATGTTCTGTATCTTCTATATATCATAAAACAAATTCTAACTATATTTATAAAAAATTGTCTTATAAAATTCACTAAGAAGTATATATCCACATTGAGGCCTCTTTGCCACATTAGCTACATAAGTAAAAAGATATAATGTGATAAGCAACCTTAGGAAATATTTAGCAGTATCCACTGCCCTCACACAAAATTGGACCGGTAGATTAGTATAACAATTCTGACCTTAACTGTGCCATGGAATCCATGCAGTACCCTGTGAACCAGACACCCCGGAAGGTATTTAATCTGTCCTTGATGATCTGCAAGTTTGAGACATGTTCCCAGATGATTGTCAGATGCATGTATAGTACAATTCTGACCCTGACAATGTAACACACTGCCAAGCGCCACTAATTAATTACTATGAGTTAATATAACCAAATTAGGAGCATAAGGCCATAGAATGTGCATATCTTTTTCCTTTTATTTATTTCTATTTACTTTTTCATTTCATTATGTTAATTAAATACATATGTCTTCGGAGGTTAAGCCTAATATAGATATATGTATTTTTATATTTATTTATTTATTTATTTTTATGTTGTATGAAGCCGACATGTATAAAAAGATGTTCTTTTGACCTTAATAAAGTTTCAACTCTGTTGGCATTTAAAATTACAATCACTCAAGTTCACTGTATTTTTAAATTACTAATAATTTATTTAAGACTTTTATAACTTGGTAGCAGCAGAATCAAAAAACTTCCTTCTTGCAAAAAAACCCCAAGCAAAACTCTGTCAAAATAGATGCCATCCAATTTGCAACATTTATAAAAACCTTTCAAGAAATCTTGAAAACTCTTGCAATAGAGAAGTGGAAATAGCCTGCCAGGTCAAGTTCTTCGACCACTACCACTACTGCACCTAGAATATCTTTGAGAATCCCTACGTTTAGAGGAGAATCTGGGGAAAATGTGGAAGTCTGGTTGTGCTAAACAAAGAATATTCTATATGCACAAGAAGTCAAAAGAGGAAGGCCAGATGGTACACTATGCTGCCACGGGATTTGAGGATGCTGTCCTTTATTGGTTTGTCAACAAAATCAAGAACTTCACCACCTTCGCTTTTACTGAATGGAACCAATTCAAAAAAGAACTCCAAATTGCCTTCCAGCGTCCACACTATCAACAACATCTGTGTTGCCAAATTAAAACCCTGCTCCAAATAGGAACTGGGCAGAAATATGTTTCCAATTTAGGAACCTGGTAAACCAAATTAATGATATGCATCAATTGGACTGAGTTGCCTATTTTGTAGAAGGATTGAAGCCCATAACCAGAATGGAAATAAGTTACAAGTTCCCAAAAACTCTTGACAAAGCCATCCAAATTGTGAGCCAATATAACATTGCCATGTTTGGCCTGGAATGACTGACAAGAAAATTTACTATCTGAGGATACCAGCTCCAAGGAAGAGACCAACAATCCAAACTGACTCCAATGGAATTAGACCATACTGAAACCTATAAAAAACCATCAACCAACAGTCAGCACCAGAAGAAACAAGTGAAATACTACAATTGCAGAAAGATGGATCACTATGCCCAAGATTATTGATCAAAGAAAACTGAAACTAAAGCCAAAGTTACTGTAATAGAAGAACAATTCACTTCCCCAGATGCTGAGTTCATCCACATTGAAGAAAAACGAGAACAACTACCGCCTGGATCCTGCAGGATAGTGGGGCCTCCAAAAATTTTATTGATGAGAAATTTGCTAATAAATAACAACTGCCAAAAAAACTAACCAAACCTTTTACTGTAAAATTGATTGACGGCCATGGAAGACCACCTGCGATATCTGAAGACTGTTTTGACTACTTTGCAACAATACTAACTATATGCCAAGGCCAAGAAGTGCGAATTGCTATATTCAAAAGTTGAATATACTGGGCACTACATCTCTGTTAAAGGAATCACTGTGAATCCTCGAAAGATTACCACCATTCAGAATTGGCTGGTATCTATCAATATGTCAGAAGTTAGATCCTTTTTATGATTAGCCAGCTACTATAGAAAGTTTGTTCAAGAATTTTCTGCTCTTGCTACCTCTCTTACTGCCCTCCTGTATAAGGATAAAGAATTTGTATGGAACACATCTGAACAAAAAGCGTTTGAGAAACTCAAAGAAGTCCTTATCACAGCTCCAGTTTTGCTCTTGCCTGATCCAAATAAGCCTTTCACTATTATCACGAATGCCTCTGACTTTGCCATTGGAGCTGTACTAACCCAGGACCATGAAAAAGAAGAACAACCAGTTGCATATGAATCCAGAAAGTTGTCACCAGCCGAACAAAACTACACTGTGCACGAGAAAGAGCTGTTAGCTATAGTGCATGCTATCAAACTCTGACATATGTATTTGGAGGACAATATTTCAATATTATTACTAACCATGTCTCCCTGGAATATATCAAGACCCAATCAAATTTGTCCAGACGACAAGCCAGATGGTTGGAAACCCTTCAAGCCAATGACTTCAAAATTGTATACCAACCAGGAAAGATCAACATTATAGCAGATACCCTCTCCAGATAGTCACACCTTGCCACTATCTCTACACTTGCTACCAAACTAACAGACAATGAAACTTTTGAAGAAAGATACACCAGTGAAGAATATTTTTCCAAAATTTTAGCCACTCTGAGAGATCTGATCCAAGCCACAGAAAAAGACAAAGCTATGCCAAATGCTTTGAATTGGATGCCAATCACATCTACCTAAAGAAAGATTACTGCTTAGCCATCCTCAAGGATAAGATGTTGAGAAGTTATATCCTTAGAGAACACTATGACATTGATATTGCTGGACACCCGGATATTGACAAAACCCTGAACACCATTATGAAAAGTTATTATTGGCCCAAGATGAGTAAGAACATACAAAAATATGTACTAATGTGTGACCTATACCAGTGAAACAAACCTAGCAATCAACAACCTGCTGGACTACTACAACCCTGCCAATGCCAAATCACAAATAGAAAGAAATCACCATGGATTTCATTATCCAACTACCTCTTACCAAAAAAGAACATGACACCATTGTTGTGTTTGTTGACCGTTTATCTAAGAGAGCCTACTTTTGTCCAATGCATATCTCTGCCACTGTACCGGAAGTTGCCAAGATCTTTTTCGCTAAAATTTTCAAGCATTATGGATTACCAAAAGCCATCATGTCAAATAGAGATGCCCGATTCACCAGCCATTTTTGACAAGCCCTGTTTCAACAACTGGATACAAAAATTGCCATGTCAACAGTATTCCACCCCAAACAGATGGACAAACAGAATGCCTCAACAGGATTTTGAAAAAAATGCTACGCATATATGCCATCTACAAGCAAGACCAATGGGATGAATACTTGCCTGCCATCGAGTTTGTGTACAATAATGCCAAACAAGTATCAATAGGGTTTACACCATTCAAATTAGATTGTGAACAACACCCCAAAACACCTCTGAGACTTGCGACACCAACATCTATGCCGACTGCTGATAACTTCATGTATTACTGAACACTATAATAAAGATTGTCAAAGATATCCTGATAGAAACACAAGACTGCCAAACAAATATGCCAACTAACACCAATGTCACCTAATGTTTAAAGAAGGAGACCGTGTATTACTTTCTTTATGGAACTTCAACAATCCTATAGATCGGAACCATTCTACAAAGAAGCTGACACCAAGATTTGCTGGATCATATATCATTATCAAGGTTATCTCTGAAACTGCCTATAAGTTAGAGCTGCCTGCCACTCTGAAGATCCATCCTGTATTTCACATCTCACTGTTTAAACTATATAAGCCATCATCAGAGGAATTTGAAAGACCAATGCCACCACCAGCACTTATATCCCTGCAACTGGAACAGAAGAATATGAAGTAGAAGCCATACTGGACAAGTGAGTTATCTGAAACAAACCCCAATATCTCATTAAGTGAACCGGATATCCATTGCATGATGCCACCTGAAAACCCCAAGAAAATCTAACAAATGCCTAAGAAAAATTCTAAGAATTTGAGTCAATAAGAACATCGAATTCTAAGGAGAGGAGAATATAACAATTCTGACCTTAACTGTGCCACAGGACCCATGTGGTGCCCTGTGAACCGGATGCCTTGGAAGATATTTGATTTGTCCCTAACAACCTGCAAATTTGATATACATTCCCAGATGATTGTCAGATGCATGTATAGTGTGATTCTGATCCCTGACAATGTGACATACCATAAAGTACCACTAATTAATTATTATGAGTTAATGTAATCAAATTAGAAGCATAAGGCCATAGAGTGTACATATCTTTTTCCTTTTATTTCTTTCTATTTACTTTTCCATTTCATTATGTTAATTAAGTATATATGTCTCTGGAGGTTAAGTCCAATATAGATATTGTTAGCCCGGTAAAAGTCACATGGTATAGTCACGTACCATGATCGGCACGGCGCGTACCCTGAAAATTGTAGAATAGCATTAATAATCAACATAAAAAATGTAGTCATTAAAGCTTAGATGACTTACCTGATAGTTTATTTTAGCCCCGATAGTCTATTTTTCCCTTAATTGTTCTTCTTATCCTTTTTTTGTAAATGATATAAAATAGTGATGCCAATGTACAAGCGAAAAACGAGAATAATAAGATAAAAAAAAACAGCAATTAAAAAGAAACGATTAGTAAAATTGAGTCGCAAAAAGAGGAATATCGTAATTAACAACTTACCTTTTCAAGTACGCACCAATTAAGGAAGGATAATCGCCGCTATAGAACATAGCCCGGGATTATCAAGAGAAGAGCCGGTGCCGGGAAAGAAGAGAAAAGCTGTTAATAACGAAATCTCGACTAAAATCAATCTTACATGCCTTGACTTACCTTTCATAATTCCAACTTTGGACTGGACAAGCGACTGACTCGCCGTTTTCCGGCCCAACACCACTTAACTTCTACTAAAAAAGATATTTTAAACTAGTTTACTAAATAAGCGATGCCAAGCAGCTGTGAGTACCTACTTAGAGTTTTATGAAATAGTGTTATGGTAGTTAGAAATAAGATTATATATACATTTTAAAAGATTAAAATTGCTTTGAATGAATATTTCCACAACAAGAGTTGAGGTATCGATTATAATATTGTTGGAAGCTAAGGTTGAGGTATTGTTATTGGAAGGTAGACTTTTACTGGAGTTGTCATTATTGGTATTATTATTGAAAGAGGTATTGATAGAACTGATATTTATATTGTTGTTACTGTTAGTGATGTTGTTATTATTGTTTTTTTTCCTTTTGAGATTTTTGTCCCATTTGATACCAATAGCAGGTGCAGTATTTGCTGTGCTACATCGGGTTTTCAAATAAGATTATAAGAAGATATGAGAGCTTCAGTATATACTTGAGTCCACTTATATATGTCATATGTAGAGAAGATACCGGTTGTAATTTCACAAGAAAGTCCTATTACTTAATATGCATTTGATAATGGGTTGTTGCTACTGTCAGGATAAAGAATGAGATTGATAGAGTCTATTATTTGTCTGATTTCTTTTTTTGCTAGGAGGTAGCTAAAGACATGAAAGATGTTTTCAGTCTGGAGACTACACCTTGGGCAATATGGATCCTTATAGTGTTCAGGGTATAGCTGGTAAAGAAATTCATATGTTGGAAGTGTGAATTTGATTTTGAATGTGATGAGATCACTATAAGTATTGTTGTGAAATCCTTTTAAGAATTTACTGGAAGAGTTGATTATTTGAAGTTCGAATGTATCATGGAATTGACTGAATGTTTTGATTATGGACGAACTTTCGCAAATAATATAAGATCTGGTGATGTTGAAGATTTTTTTGCACCATCTCGAGCTGCTGCCCAGATCTGCTTTGTTGATGGTGGGATTTTCTGCAAAATAGAGGCTTGAGTTGTTCCAAAAAATAGAGCTGATGTATCTTGGCTTTGATTTGGGCTTGGTGAATTCAATGGATATATCTTTTTGTGTTAAGATTTGCTTAATTCTTAAAGTTAAGATAGCGAAGTTGACTTTTACACATTTCCTGGGAAAGGCGGGTAGTGTTCGAATGATTCTTTTATTGTTTATGACTTCAATGGTAGAGTGAGAGGGGCACTATTGAATAATGTCATAGATAACTCGAAAGATATTGCTATCTGAAAGTTTTGGATTGAACATTATAAATTTAATTTCATTGACGATTAAGTCTTATTTCAAGAGTTGAATATGGTATAGGTTGTATTGCTCTATTGCCTGTAGGGGAAGAGGGATAATATGGAAGGCATGATGTCAACTAATTGGAGAAAGGTTTCATTTTCTGTTGGAGAGTTTGTTAAGTCCCCAATGATATTGCAAAGGCGATACTTGGCATTGGGTAAAACTTTATTGATTGTTCAAAGTGAAGAGGCATCGGAACTTAGGAAAGTTATTGAGCAATAGTTGTTAAGAGAGAAGTCCAAAAGGCAGCCCAAATACTTGATAATATTGTTATTGGAATCGATTGTATAATGTCTTCCTTTGAGGGATGTGTTCCCTTGGATAAGATGATATTTTTTATGAGTCTTGATAATAGTATTCACAGTATGTAGAAACCAGAATGTCGGATTTGGGTTTGGTATTGATCTGTGAGATCCGTTGAGATTATTATCATTGATGAAGTTCTTGAACCAAATTGGTTC